GAAAGGAAGGGCCGCAGGTGCAGGTTGCTGAGCACTGGCAACACTGTCCCCTGGCTGATCATCTTTCTGAGCAACCACGAAACCCCTCTGGCAGCTCGGGTCCCTGCTGGATCCAGAAGATTAGGTCTGGGATTCCTCCATTTCCTCCTAACACCCACCCACCTGTTATGAAATTTGTCTCATTTTGAAAAAGAACCCAAGGACCAAGCAGAGGCATTGATAAAGGATAATGCCTGCGAGGAACCTGCCAGGAAATGGCAGTTGCAGGTTGATGTGTGTGAGCCTGATGCATTCTCTGGTCTCCTCCCCACACCCTGGGTGCTCCTTGTAGTGAGAGGCCATTGGTCACTCAGAGCCATCTGTGCTGGGCTGACCGGGTGTCAGTCACCTTGTTTCTCAGACCAGCGATGTTTTTAGAGGGGTTGTGCGATTTAGGTGTTACAAGCATTGTCAACTTGCATTGGCAGATGTTGCTAAGAATATAATCTGACTGGCGTGTCCTTGAACTTCTCAGTTTTCATATTTATAAATATTCAGTATTGAACAATTGCATACCCATGGTGTGACATGAGGAAAATGAGGGGGAAATGTAAAGAAAAAAAATCCAAAAGCTGCCGGTTACTTTAACTTTTTGGCCTGTTTCCCACCTGCTACCTCACAGTGTGATTTAATCATGTAGTTGAGATATCCCCATGAACTTTGAAGTTTGTTGTTATTTGAGTGGCCTGGGGACACACCCTTGGTTTTGAATTTTTAATACCCATGGTTTAGCACTTTCCATGTGCAGAGCTTTTTGAATTCTGTGTTGACTTCCCAGCTCAGCACAGGGGGAGCCAGTGGGGATGGGGGTTTCACTTCGCATGCTCTGGGATCTGTTGAATCTTCCGTTCTCTGCAGCGTGTGGGGTGGGCGGGGCAGGTGTTTGGCAAAATGGTGAAGGGCACTAGCTGGGAGACCCACGCCCCCCGCCAGTGTAACTGGCTGCAGCTTCCTGCTCATGCAGGCCCTGGGAGGCAGCGGGTGTCGTTAGGTCCCTGCCACCCACGCGGGAGACCCAGATGGGAATCCTGGCCCCTAGCATCGTCCTGGTCCATCCCACCTACTACATGCTGAACCATGTGAATAGATGTCTGTCTGCCTGTCTTTTCAGCATTCAGTACATAAATAACATTTAAAAAGAGCAGATGCCAGCGAATGGGTACAGTGGTGGCCTGTGCTGCAGAGTGGCGTCCAGGTCTACAGCCCTGCCCCTGACTTGCTGCCAGCCAAGAAAGCCATCCTGGCCCTGGCACTTTGCCCTTTGACCTCTGCTCTTTGCTGTGGCTGTAGCTGTGCCTCAACAGGTTCAAGTGCATGCGGCCCTGCAGGGGTCACCAAAGTTTGGTCATAGGTCTTTAGGAACTGAACGTGCAGAGGGAAATCAAGTGATGCTGCCTTGAGTGACATTGGCAGTTATTTTGTAAATGGACATTTTTGCCCCTTTAATTGGTGTTAATTAATGTTTCTTTGCCAAAGTGAGGGGAAAAGTCTCTTAGGTCTGCGTTGTGAGTTTAAAAATATTTACATTTAGAAATCAGCATTCAGATTTTTTTTTTTTTTTTTGTGGCTGGGGGACTTCCCCACAGCTGTATGGCCTGGGTGTTGAGTTATGGTTGTCATAGAAACCTGTTACAACACCCACTGACCACTCCTTCCCTCCTGCTACCTATGCCTTCCCATCTGGCCCTCTGCCTATTTTCATCCCCTACATCCTCCCCTCTCTGCTGCCACGGAGGTGATGATCCCTAGAAATGACCTCTGCAGTGGGCCATTATCCCGCACAAAGGAGGGACCTTGTTCCTGCCTCCCCAGGCTGTCACGCAGCATGGTGGCTCACTCCCTGCAGGGTCCACTTCCTGCAGAGCCACCTAAGGGTCCCTCGCCCATGAAACCAGAAAACCAGGCCAGACAGTGCAGAGGAAGCCCTCTGCCATTCTAAAAGCCATGCCTCAGTTTTAATCTGTAAAATGGGACTAACAAGGGTTGCCAACTCACAGGATTGTTTAAAAAAAAAAAAAGCAGCGCTCTGTCCACGCCGTGTCAGGAGCAGGTGGAAGGGACAGGCTCAGGCACGAGAAGGCTCTGCATTTTCTGGTGCTTGTGGTAGGAAAGAGGGCTGTGGTATCTCTTGGTACTCTCATACTGTACCGTGGTGCTTGGCCCCTGGGGACTCCAGCTCTCTCCCAAAGAAGTGGTTTATCTCCAGTCAGTGTCTGAAGATCTGCTTTTGGAGAAACTCAAGGTGAAAGAAGTGATAGAGACATTTCCATGGTACAGTAAATGAAAAATAAAATTAGGAAACTAGATTTTCAAAACTTTTGGTGTTAGGATCCCATTTCTTCTTTTATAAAAGACTTATTTTATTGGAAAGGCTGATTTACAGAAGGAAGGAGACAGAAAGATCTTCCCTCCGCTGGTTCACTCCTCATATGGTCACAGTGGCTGGAGCTGAGCTGATCCCAAGCCAGGAGCCAGGAGCTTCCTCTGGGTCTCCCACGCAGTGCAGGGTTCCAAGACTTTGGGCTGTCCTCTGCTTTCCCAGGCCAGGAGCTGGATGGGAAGTGGGGCCACTGGGGCATATCCAAAGTGCATATGGGATCCTGGCACTTGAAAGGGGAGCTGCTGTACCAACTTCCCCTCTTTTTTTAAAAAATGATTTATTATTATCTTTTAATCCCTCTTATGTTTATTAAACTATTTTTCTTTTGTTTTTGTTTTGATATACAGAATGCCAAATACTTTGGCATATGTGATGGCCTTCAACAATCTAAATTTTTCTTTGCTTAAATATTTTGGAATTAAAAGGACCTTAAAGCAAGTATGAGATGTAGGTAACACTTCTGTGTCTGGCCATTTTTGTCTGGAATCATTTAAAGATTTATTTTTATTATATAGGCAGATTTGCAGATAGGAAAGACAGAAAGACCTTTACCTCAATGGTTGGGGATCTCAAAGAGTTTTTGGTGTCTATGGGTTATTTCCATAAATTGTGTCCGTGTTTAAAACTAAAGATGGGAAATATTTAAGTGTATGTTTTTAAATAACCAAAATGAAGCCATTAGGCTGCAATAACACTTTTATGACATAATCTGTATTTTAAAATCCTTTCTGAAAACAGGCTGTGTTTACATTTTTGCGAGTCACTTTCGTGTTTGGTTTTAGTAGAAGCTGAATTTTCATATCTGCCTCTGTGTTTAGTCTTCTGAGAAACACCATGTCGTGGAAAACTCCCCTGCGTGCTGGCAAGATGAGAGCGGAAGGGAATAATGTCTTAGCATTATTTTGAAAATAGCTGTGATCTCATGGCACCCCTCGGTGGTGCTTGGCATGTTTTGGTGAAGCGGCTTTCTGGGAAGAGGGGAGAAAAGCCTTGGTGGGTAGCCAGTGTCAGTTACCTTGGTGCAAATACCCCCACCCTGGACAATTCCAGGCTCCTCACTTGATTGTAATGGTGGCGTCGGCCAGAGCTCCAGGCCCAGTGCAGGTCACCTGGGCCAGCTACAGCACACTGCCCCCTCTGAGGCTCACCACACTTTGAAAACATCTGTGGAACAACACATGGAGTGGCCGTCCAGGAACCCAGTTGGACCGAGTAGGTGTTTTCTTTTTTTTATTTTCTCTGTAGCTTCCATCTTGTGGGTTAGTCTTTAGATGCCATCTTGTGGGCTCTGACTTGGGCAGAAACCAGGAACTCAATCCAGGTCTGCCATGTGGGAGCAGAAGCCGTTACTGAACCATCACTACCACCCTCCAGGGAACACATTAGCAGGAAGTTAGAGTCAGGAATGGGGAATTGAACCCTAGGTTCTCGCTTGCTTTTCTTCCTTTTTTGAAAGGCAGAGTTAAGAGAGATCTTCAATCTGCTGGTTCACTCCCCAACTTGCTGTATTGGCTAGAGCTAAACCAATCCAAAGTCAGAAGCCAGAAGCTTCTTCTGGATCTCCCATGTGGGTGCAGGGTCACAAGGCTTTGGGCCATCCTCTACTGCTTTCCCAGGCCACAGGCAGGGAATTGGATAGGAAGTGGGGTCATGGGAATTCCAATTGAAGCTCAAGCAAGGGATGCAGGTGTTCCACTGCTCCACAAGCCCTGTCCCCGTCACAGTGGCCAGCACTTCCGTGCCTGTTGAATTATGTTCCCTGTGTGTACTTTGGTGACTTCAAAACGTCATTAGGGAAATGTAAATCTTAAAAAAAAAAAGATAAAGACAAGGGCCCGGTGTAATAGCGTAGTGGTAAAAGTCCTCACCCTGCACAGGCCGGGATCCCATATGGGCGCCGGTTCTAATCCTGGCAGCTCTGCTTCCCATCCAGCTCCCTGCTTGTGACCTGGGAAAGCAGTTAAGGACGGCCCAAAGCCTTGTGACCCTTCACCCGTGTGGGAGACCTATAACAGCTCTTGGCTCCTGGCTTCGGATCAGTTCTGCAGCAGCCATTGCGGTCACTTGAGTGAACCATCGGATGGAAGATCTTCCTCTCTGTATATCCACCTTTCCAATAAATAAATAAATCTTAAGGAAAAAAAAAGATAAAAATAAAGCCCCAGCCAAGTGCATGGTAATAGGATTCAGACTCGTGCATTTTTTCATTGTTAGACAGAGAGATAGACACAAACCCTGCGGGTTTCAGCATTTCTGGAGCCAGTGTGGACGATTTATTCCTTGCTGTTTGATATTAGACTGGCTGAAGCTTTGTACTGGTGAGATTATCTGTTTTCTTTTTTTCTTTTTAAAATAAAGATTTATCTTGTTGGAAAGACACATTTACAGAGACAAGGTGAGAGAGAAAGAAATGTCTTCCATCCACTGGTTCGCTCCACCAGAGGCCACAGTGGCTGGAGCTGAGTCAGTCCGAAGCCAGGAGCTAGAAGCTTCTTCCGGGTCTCCCGTGTGGGTGCAGGGTCCCAACGACTTGGGCCATACTCACTGCTTTCCTGGGCTTTAAGCAGGGAACTTGATGGGAAGTCTAGCAGTTGGAACAAGAATTGGCTCCAACACGGGGTCACAGTACTTGCTGGGAGAGGATTAGCCAATTGCGGGAGGCCCTGTCCTTCCTTTTGTATCTTCTGCAAACCAAAGCTTGCGCTGATGGCTGGTTTCATCTTCTGCCTTGTGGATCTGGAGTGGAGAATTGAACCCTGGCCAGCCCTGGTCCCCTCTGTGTAGACAGTCAGTGCCACCCTCCATCATTTGCAACTTTGTACATTACTGATGGACACTTTGCCTGGGGCTTTCTAGGTTGTTTGTTTTGAAAAGAGGCAGGATTTTTACTTATTAAACCAGCCCCGGAGCGTGGTCTTCTTGAGAGCTACTGTCTGGTTGGTCTTAGCACCAGCGGCATTGAAAGCGGAGGCAGTTGAAGCTTGCACATGTCCTGTGCTTTCTCCACTCGTTGACTCTTCCCTTGGCTGGGGCAGGGGCTACTGAGCTGATTGTCGGTGACATCCAGAGAAGCTGCCAGATGGCCCATGATGTGAGGTAAGAAGATTTTGATAGAAAGGATGCTGGGACATACGGCATGGAAGCCAGCAGGCGAGGGAGAAAAATGGGGTGATCTTGAGAAGGCCCAGCTCCCCCAGCACCTGTGTTAGGCAAGCAGGAGGAATTTCCCTGTGCGCCCGGCATCTGGGGCCGCCCTGGAGGAGCTCAGCTCCCCGTCTCCACCCAGCAGAGGACCAGGAAATGGCCTAGGAGAGGTGATACCCATCTCCTTACCACCTGCTGTGGTGGGTGGGAAGACGGAGTGGGTCCCATGCTGTCGCTGAGCCAGCTCCAGGCCACAGGGAGTGGCTCCTCACCCCTCCTGCCCCACGGCAGGAAGTCTGCCTCCAGACACAGTTGTGGCCCAAACTGCTTTTCAGGTAGCCCCTAGGGCTAAAGGAGATTCCTGGATCCCCCAGAGCGGCCTGAAAGCAGCCAGGGTGCTCGGCGGCAGAGTCTTGGCAGCAGACAGAGGGCTGTGTTTGCTCCTCTGGCTGCCTAGTCGGTGGTACCGCCACCCTCCCCCAGGAATCTTACTGCACCTCTGTGACTGACGCTGGGCCGGCCAGTGGCCCTACCATCAATGTCTATTGGAGGAATCTGGATTCAAGTAGCCTGGGGCAAGGCCAAGGTGCTCTTGCAGTTGGTGGGCGCACTCCGGTTGGTGGGTCCTCGCTCACCACTACTTGAATGAGGTTTAGGCAAGTGCCTCTTGGCAAGCATAGCTGTTCTCCAGGGACAGAGGCCTACCATCCTGTGCTGTGAGTTTCTTGGGTACTAACATTGCTGCATCAGTTGCCAGTCTATAAATGAACACAGAAATGCTTTTCCCAGAGCAGAAGCGCTTGGGCTACTTGGAGCTGGGCAGCTGTAGCCTTCCTCCTACCTCACCCTTGCAAGCCTTTCTGCTCCCCTCCCCACCTCCTCTACTTCCCTCCTCGCCCGCAGGCACATCAGGTGTGTGTCCTTCCCAGGTCATTCTGCTGTGGTGCTGTGGTGCTGGTGTTACTGGTGGTGCTGGTGATTCAAGAAAATAGCCCTTGTGCTCACGGAGCCACATTCCTGGCCAGCTACGCCCAGCGGCCAGCAGCATGGCTCTGCGTTGTCAGGCTCCCCAGGGCCCCGCTGCTCCATAGGGGGTTCCAGCAGAGCAAGGAGGGAGGGTGAGTGCAGAGTTCCTTGAGTCAGCTGGCCACCCTCACCTACACCTGGGGTTCTGGGAGCTGTCCCTTGCTGTCCTGGCTGCCTCACCTGCACCTGGAGTTTTGGAAGCTGTGTCCTTCCATTCTGGTTGCTGGCATTTCACATCTACTGTTTCCTGCTTGGCCAGAGTGCCACCAGGATCCCTTTGTTCTTTGTGTAAACCCTCTGCCGTCTCTTCCTCCCTTAGCTGCTTTTTTTCTCTCCAAAATATACTTTGCTGTGTGCGGGGTCCATGTCCTCCAGCAGCCCGCATGTGTGCCTCCCCATGTCTTCTGCTCTTGCCCTTGGATGGAGAGGAATGGGTTATGTGACCACACAGCAGAGCTTCCAGGGATCTTCAGCAAGCTAAGGGTGTTTGGGAACTCTGGCGTTTCCCCGAGAGACCCACTCACAGCGCTGGAAGGCAGGTTGGAATCTGTGCCTGGTGGTGCCCACCACCCTGCCAGCCACTGACTGACAGCCAGCTGGGGGAGGGGTTTCCCTCCCTCACTCTCTTTGAACGTGGTGCAGGGAGCTGCCAGCCGCTGCACCTGGCAGCACAGTTCTCCAGCCTCCCTGAGGTTGACTCCCTGTTGGTTGTGCTCAGCCTCACTTTGTTGAGTTGTTTCAGATAGGAGGAAGCCTTTTGTGGTTTCAGGTAAGGCTTATTTTCTCTGTCCCTCCCGGAAGTTAGTTAGCACAGGAGTGATAAGGACTGTGCCTGCCTCCCCCCACCCTTTTTTAAGGATTTATTTATTGTTATTGGAATGGTAGATGTACAGAGAGGAGAAGTAGAAAGACCTTCCGCCTGATTCACTCCCAAGTGGCCTCAGTGGCTGGGAGCTGAGCCGATTCAATGCCAGGAGCCTCCTTTGGGTCTTCCACATGGGTGCAGGGTGCCAAGGCTTTGGGCCATTGTCTACTACATTCCCAGGCCACAAGCAGGGAACTGTTTGGGAAGTGGAGCAGTCGGGCACAAACTGGTACCCATATGAGATCCTGGCATGTGCAAGGTGAGGATTTATCCACTGAGCCATCACAGCAGGCTCGATCATGCCTGTCCTGCAGGGCTGTCGTGGTGCATGTCCTCAGGTTCGTCTTCAGAAGCCCTGTGCGAGCACGCTGTTCCATGAGTTTTGAGGTTGGTATGTGCACGCACCAGCTGAATGCACAATCTCCTGCCCTACTCGTGACATGCGCTCTATCACCTCTAAATTGTTCGTGGTGACCAAGTATCGTCTTGTAGCCGCCCTTTGACTGGTCCGCCATGTGTCGTAGCTGGCCTTCCTCTTACAGAAATTGCTTGGGAGGAACGTGTTGGTTCTGCTCTCGCCTGAGCCTTAAGTAAAATAAGAAGGCCATGTGTCTGTCCACCCACATAGCTGTGGAAACGAGTGCAAGTTGCCATATGCATTGTTTCCCAATGGATACGACTCATTTGCATTGTGTGCTGTTTTCATTCTTGCTCTGAGGAATTGGGGGCATCTCAGAGAAGGTAATAGTAAGTTTAGTGCTCCTCCCCGCTGCAATGTTGGTCCTGTCCTGGGGGCACTGGTAGGAGTTGGGCTGGTGCCACCACTCTTTCCATTCTGCTGTTCAGACTAGATTGTATGATGTTCTCAAACCCACACGTTACAGCCCACCATGTTTTCTCTGCTTGTTGGAGCTGAAGGAAGGACTATATTAGCGCTCCCAAAAATAGTATAACATAACCACATAGGTAGCCAACATTTTTCTAGTGGCTACTTTACCAAAACAGGTCGAGTGAATTTTAATGAAGCATCTAGCTCCAGTAAGTCCCCAGATAGGACCATCTAACCATGTGAGCAAGCAAATCAGCAGTGAGAGGTTTCACGTCCATCCTGCTAGGCGGAAGCTGACCCCAAGTGTGCACTGAACTGCGCCTTGAGTGTGCAGGGGGGTCTCCATCTGCACTGAGCCATGCCTTGAATGTGCAGGGGGTCTCCATCTGTGCTGAGCCATGCCTTGAATGTGCCTTGAGTGTGCAGAGGGTCTCCATCTGTGCTGAGCCATGCCTTGAGTGTGCCTTGAGTGTACAGGGGTTCTCCATCTGTGCTGAGTTGCGCCTTGAGTGTGCAGGGGTTCTCCATCTGTTCTGAGCTGTGCCTTGAGTGTGCAGGGGGGTCTCCATCTGTGCTGAGCTATGCCTTGAGTGTGCAGGGGTCTCCATCTGCGCTGAGTTATGGCTTGAGTGTGCAGGGGGTCTCCATCTGCACTGAGCCGCACCTTGAGTGTGACTGAGGCCCGTGGTCATGTGCAGCACGGGTCTCTTGATCATTTCGAGTGAATTCCCAGACACCAGCTCAGGTATGTCAAAGGCTGCAGCTTCCAGCTTTCGACCCTGCTTCCTTACCGGGTTTGATTTTGGTTTTGTGGCTGGTCCTTATAAGGAGGGACTGAAAAGAGATCGCCCTAATTGGGTTGTCAGCAAGATGTGATTTGTTCAAAGAACATTTTGCAGTCCTGGTGGCACAGCCTAGCGGCTAAAGTCCTCGCCTTGAACGCACCGGGATCCCATATGGGCACCAGTTCTAATCCCAGCAGCTCCACTTCCTATCCAGCTCCCTGTGGCCTGGGAAAGTAGTCGAGGATGGCCCAAAGCTTTGGGACCCTGCACCCGTGTGGTAACTTGGGGAGGGAATCATCGGATGGAAGATCTTCCTCTCTATCTCTTCTCCTCTCTGTATATCTGACTTTGTAATAAAAATAAATAAATCTTAAAAAAAAAAAAAGAACATTTTGCCCTGACTCAGTAAGTGCCTCTCTGGACCACCCTGCCCACAGGGAGCTGCACAGGTGGCTGCTCTGGGCATGTGCATTCTGGGTCTGACAGGCACACTTACAGGGTGCTGAGTTTCTGAGTGGGTAGGGGTGAGGAAATAAACCCAGTAGTAAATCAAGACTTTGTCTTTATCTTTTCATTTAGTGGAATAGAAGATGAACTCAGCTGAATTCGGTGAAGATGTAGAAGAAGGTAAAAATATATATATATATATATATATGTGTGTGTGTGTGTCCCCCCCCTTTTTTTTTTTAAGAAAAATGCTTTTAATGAAATAGTTTTGATGAGGTTATCCATTGACAGCATGTACATGGAATATAAAGAAGGTGTTTGACAAGTCCCAGCCCTGGTACCACATGCACCTGTTGTAAGCATCTTACGTATCTTTCTGAAGTTACTTTTTCTTCTCTTCCCTAAAGACATTCCAGCTAATTTTGAACCCGATGTTCTGGAAACCTAGTTTTGTTATCTGGTCCTCACAGCAGATAAGAAGTGTGTTATTGGAAAGCACAGGTTTATAAAAATCTTTGAGAGAGGGAGCGACGGGGCGTAGCCCACACCCCTTGTCTCTGGGCGTTGCCCCACACTGAGCCCTGTTTCTTACCTGCCGCAGTTCTGAAAAACAGCACGGTCAAAGTGGAGACGGAGGCTGAGGATGCGGCCCTGGACTGTTCCATGAGCTCCAGGACGTTGGAGAGGCGCCCCCTGGACGGCATCCTCACCGCTCTGCAGGACTCCAGCAAACGCAAGCAGCCTGGCAGTGGTGGGCAGCTGGACGTGGTCCCCAGTGTGAAGCGGCGGCGGATGATACCCGAGGTGAGGGCCCCTTTTGCCCTCCGATGCTGTGGGCTCGGGCCGAATCTCATCTCCTTACTGCTGGGCATCATCTCTTCCGGGGCATACTGCCCAGCCTTTGGGTCTGAGAAGTGATTACTGACGCTGTCGCATCTCTGGCAAAGTCCTGTCCGTGTCTGCTTCCTGTGGGGTGAGGGGAATGTTCACACCATCACTTTTTGAGTGCTCCACAGGAAACAGTGGACTGCTTGTGGGTAAGGGTACCCTGCTCGACCCTCCGTGGAGACCGAGTCCTGGAAAAGTTGAGGGCTATCAGCTCTTAAGTTAAATGCATCAGATACATAAGGGGAGCTTGCTCCCTACCCGGCCTCTTCAATGAATGCTCTTTTTTAAAGATGTGTTTGTTTATTTGAAAGGCAGAGTCAAAGGTAGAGGAGAGAGACAGAAATCTTGCATCTTCTGGTTCATTCCCCAAATGGCTGCAATGGCAGGGACTGGGCTGACCTGAAACCAGGGGCCAGGAAGGTGTCAGAGGCCCAAGGACGTGGGTCATCGTCCTTTGCTTTAGCATCAACAGGGATCAGTAGTGGAACAGTGTCTGTATGGGATCCTGACACTTGTCAGTGGCTGCTGGCCCCATTGGATGCTTTTGTGTAAAGTGAAAAATTATTCATTTTTGTACCTGTTAACCCCTGTATCCCCCCTCCCCAATTTGCTCTATTTCTTAATCATGTGCTGGTTAAGCATTGAATTTGGCTAGATGGGGCCTAGCGGCGTGGCCTAGCAGCTAAAGTCCTCACCTTGACACGCCAGGATCCCATATGGGTGCTGGTTCTAATCCCGGCAGCTCCACTTGCCATCCAGCTCTCCCTGCCTGTGGCCTGGGAAAGCAGTCAAGGACAGCCCAAAACCTTGGGACCCTGCACCTATGTGGGAGACCCAGAAGAGGTTCCTGGTTCCCGGCTTCGGATCGACGGAGCACTGGCCATTGTGGTCACTTGGGGAGTGAATCATCCGCTGCAAGATCTTCCTCTCTGTCGTCCTCTCTGTATATCTGACTTTGTAATAAAAATAAATAAATCTTAAAAAAGATGCTAGATGCTGAGGGGTGGGAAGTGCTGGTGGGCCTGACGGTCCCTCTGCCACCTCCAGTCTGGGTGAGAGACAAGGCATGTCCTTAAACCAGTTGGCGTTGAAGGCTCTTCAGTGTAGCCCCCCCTCCCCTCCCTAGAGTTCTTGGGGTGAAGGAACTCCTATTTTCTTTTTTTTATTTTAAAGATTTATTTATTTATTGGAAAGTCAGATATACAGAGAGGAGGAGAGACAGAATGATCTTCCGTCCGATGATTCACTCCCCAAGTGAATGCAACAGCTGGTGCTATGCCGATTCGAAACCAGGATCCAGGAACTTATTCCAGGTCTCCCACGCGGGTACAGGGTCCCAAAGCTTTGGGCTGTCCTCGACTGCTTTCCCAGGCCACAAGCAGGGAGCTGGATGGCAAGTGGAGCTGCCGGGATTAGAACTGGCGCCCATATGGGATCCCGGTGTGTTCAAGGCGAGGACTTTAGCTGCTAGGCTGTGCCGCCAGGCCTGGAACTCCTATTTGTATGTGTCTGTTCCACAGGACTTGGGTTTTCTGGGCTCCTTGCCAATAGGCTGAGCTCTGTGAGATTCCAGCCTAAGACTCCCCTTTGGTTTGTAAAGCTTGATTCTTTTACATTGGACATTTATGCATTTTAACATCTAGGTTAGGCCCTGGTTAGTACAATCTATCCTTTTCTTTAATTAGCCTCATGATAAGACTAAGATTTTTTTCATAGGATTTTAGTATGCGTGCTTGTGTTGTGTGCAGTCCTGTGTTCTACATCACAGACCACTGAGTGATTGGTTTAAGTGATTTTTGAGCAACTTTCTTAGGGAGCACAGTGTGGGCTCTGCACACTTACAGAGAAGGATGAACTGGTTTGTCTTCGATTTCCCGACACTTGCAGAGCCCCTGATGATACCCTCTGCTCTGCTTTCTCAATTTTTCTGTGGATTGGCCTGTTCTGGACATTTCTGTGCCTTTTGTGTCTGGCTTCTTTTACCTAGCCTGGTGTTTTCAACATTCACCCATGTTGTAGCATGTGTCAGTATTGTATTCCTCTTGATTTGTCACCACAGGTTTTCCTTTTTGGAGTGCTTGTAGGTCCACAGCACCATCTTCTTGGGCACGATTGCTCCATCATCTGCCCAGGCTCCACCTCCCCCACCACAGTGCTATATTTAGTGCAATTGACAGACTTCTAATGCCACATTATCATCCAGATTCCATCCTTAATGCTGGACTCGCTCCTCTGCAGTCTGTGGGTTTGGACAAATGGATAGTGACATGTGTCTGCCATTCATTATAGTGCACACAGTAGTTTCATTGTCCTGTAAAGCAGTTTGGATTGATGTATTCATCTGTCCTTCCTGAACACCGACAACCAGCCATCTCTTTACTGTGCTTGGTTTTGCCTTTTCCGCGATGTCGTCATTGGAGTCCCGCAGTGTGTAGCCTTTCTGGGTTGGCTTCTTCCATTTAGCAATGTGCGGTGAAGCTTCCTTCATGTCTTCTCATGGCTTGATAGCTCATTTCCTTTTGGTACTGAATCTTATTCTGTTGTCTGGATGCTTATTCATTTATGTTCCTAAGGACATCTTGGTTCCTTCCAAGTTTTGGCAATTATTAACAAAACTGCTGTAAAGGTCCACTTACAGACTGTGTGCAGATGTGGTTTGTTGTGCCTTTGGTAAATACCAAGAAGTACAATTGCTAGCTCAAAGGTAAGAGAATGTTTAGTTTTATAAGAAGCCACCAGACCGTCTTCCAGACTGATTGCACGCCTTTGCACCCCACCCTTTGAGTGGGAGTTCCTGTTGCTCTTACAGCACGGACAGCATTTCCTGTTGTCTAGGTTCTGGATTTTGTCCCTTCCATAAGGTATGTAGTTGTGTCCACCTTTCTGTTCTTTCTTCATTTGGGCTACCTGAGGACACAATTTGGAGACCCCTTTCAAATACGTTGCTTACTATCACCAAATGATTCATTTACTGTGAAATGCAGATCCACAGATGGAGAACTCTCCCATCTGCTGATTCACTCACTTGCAATAGCCAGGGCTGGGCCAGGCCAAAGCCAGGAGCAGGAACTCAATCTGGGCCTCCCTGGGTGTCAGGGATCCAACAACTTGAACCATTATTTGCTGCCTCCCAGGGTGTGAATAGCAGGAAAGAAAAGTCAAAACTTGAACTCAGGTACTCCATTGTGGTTTGCAGGTGCCACAGTGTTGCAGTAGTGTCTGTCTCTGATTCTTTCTCAGAGATCACTTGACTGTACGGATATGGGTCAATTTCTGGGCTCCATTCTGTTCTACTTATCTAATGATACCACGCTGTCTTGATTGCTGAATCTTCAGGCAGTGTCTCTGCTTTCAGCAGATGAAATCAATAAGCACTTTTTTCAAAAGCTGTTGAAGGTGTTACATAATGATAAAGGATCCTTCAAGATAACAGTCCTTATATATGTACTTAAGAGTGCCAAACTTTGTAGGGAAAAACTTGCTGAACGGCAAGGGGACATGGATGAGTCTTCCGTAATTATAATTGGAGACTTAATTGTATCTCATCAGGAATGGACTGATCCAGCAGGTGGAAAATGGGTAAGAATGCAGTTGAACAGCACTATGTACCAACTGGGTAGAACTGACATCTGCAGACTACTTCCCATTCTTTTCAAACTCACATGGAATCTTCACCAAGATGGACCACATTCTGGAGAGGGAGGGAGGGAAGAAGAGAGAGGGTGATACGGTGGGGGTGGGAAGAACGAGATTTCCATCTGCTGTTTCATTCCGCAAATGCCTGCCACAGCTAGGGCTGGCTCAGATCAAAGCCAGGAACCTGAACTCCACCTGGTTCTTCCACGTGGATGGCAGGGACTCCGGCCCTTAGCCGTCTGCTGCCTCCTAGCACATGTTAGGGAGCTCAGTGGTCTTAGCTCCTCATTGGTAAGTGGTTTTTTTGTGTGTGTTTGTTTGTTTTTTTTAACCTTAGCCCCCACCTGGCTTTCAGAGTTTTTCCTTTGCCTTTGGTTCTTGTAGTTTGAAATTGGTGTTCCTAGGTGTGGGGTTTTGGGATTTATCCTGTTTGGTCTCCTGGCTCTGTGGCTTAGTGCCTGACACTAGTTTGGGACATTTCCAGTTATGACATTTTCAGATATTTCTTCTGTTCCTTTCATTCTTTTCTCTCTTGGCACTCCTGTTATGTGTGTGTTACACTTTTGTAATTGTCCCATAGTTCATGTATATTCTATTATTTTTTTTTTAAAGATGTATTTATATATTTAAAGGCAAAGTGACAGATAGAGAGACAGAGACCTTGTATCAAGCTGTAGTGGCTTGCAGCTGCTGGGAGCTGGGCTGCAGCCAGTAGTCTGAAACTCCATCCCGAAGTACCATGTGGGTAGCCAGGGCCCAGGCATCGGTCTGCCCTCTGCTACTTTCCCCGGCAAGCACGTTAGCAGGGAACTGGATGTGAAATGGAGCAACGTGGATGTGAACTGGTCATTCCCATGGGATGCCTGTGTCTCATACACGGCAGCTTGACTCACTAGGCCATTCCACGGTCCGCTATTGTGATTTTCTCCCGTTGTTTTTCTTCTCTTTACCTTCTTTTCCCCATTTTTATTAAGCTCAGTTTCCCAGAGCTTCTTTCCTTAGTGATGGCCGACCTACCACAAGCCCTTCGGAGACCGTCTTCCTGTCCCTTACATTGTCCTTATCACCTCTGGGGTTTCTCCTTGTTCCTGTCCTGGAATTCCCCTGTGTACATTGCTTCTGTCCTTGCGTGCCGTCTGCCTCACTCATTAGAGCCCCTATCTTATTAATCATGATGGTTTTAAACTGTTTGGCAATTCCAACATTCCTGCCATACTTGAGTCTGATTTGGCCTTGATGTCTCCTGTGGTTTTTTTTCCTATGTGGCCACACCTGAAGTC